TGCTGTGTGGGAAACAGCTGGCTATTCAGAGTGTGACTGCAATAATGCTTTTAAAAATTAAATAAAGGAGAGGAAATATGCTAAAGTGTAAATAAGTTAACAAAACTATGGATGGATGATGGGATCACAAGTGCCCTTTCTCTCTAATTGGAAGATGGAGAAAATAGGAAAGTAACACATTGCTTTCATAATAGTGAAACAAAGGAGATCACTTATGTTGTGGCAGCAGACAAACTCAAAGAAAGTAGAAATGGTTTTTTTTAATAACATAATGGTGCCACTTGAAAATATAAACCACTATTTATGTATGAAATTTAAACATTAACTTATTTATTCATTTCTAAGGTGGAAAAAATATGGACAGTAAGAAACTTCTTAGGGTCCCCACGGTTTATGAAGTAAAGTGCAGACTGTAGGATACTTATACACCTTAACAGAACATGTATCTTAACATCTCTATCAGTGCTTTTCACAGACACTCATTTTTTTACATTCCTTTTTTTCATTAAGTAATATTTAGTCACTGTAGAAAATTAGAAAGCATATAAACAACATTTTTAAAGTTACCTCATCACCCAAAAGTTATCACTGTTAACATTTTAGAGTACACATATGTACATTTGTTAGAAAAACAAATACATGCTCACTCTCATATGCTCTTATTCAGTCCCATGGCTGTAAGTGTTATCTATACCCTGATTACTTTCTCGTTTACATCTGCACACCTGGCCTCTGACTAATTTTAAACATAGATCTGTCTGCTAGACATCTGCACTTGGGCGTTTAATAAACATCTCAAAATTAACATGCCCCCATCTGAACTCCTGATCTTCACCATGAAAGCTGCTCCTCTGTGATTCTGCCCATCTGTACTACTTATCTGTTACTGTATAATTATTATGGCTGTTGTCAGGAGACTTGGTATCTGTGTAACATGAACCTTTCCTTTGGGTTGCTTGAGTATCCTCACAACATGGTGGCCGGCTTCCCTCCAAATGAGGGTTCTATAGAGAAAGAGCGAGGAGGAAGCCACAATGCTTTTCAAAACCTAGTGCTGCATTCATTCAATGTCACTTCTATAATAAATCATGTTGCAATCTAGTCTTTAGAAGCAAGTTACTAAATCCAGTTCACACTGAACTGGAAGGAAATTTCATTCTTCGTCCTGAAGAGGAACATATCAAAGCATTTGCAGACATAAAACCAGCATGACATCTCAGTTGATGGCAATTTCACTCTTCAAGATACACATCAAGCTCCTGGAGTCACGCTTGTCTCCTTGGTTTTACTTTCAACTTTTCGTTTGTTAGAAAAATCATGCTGGTTCTACTTTCAAAATATACCCAGAGTCTGATCATTTCTTAGCACGTCCACTGCTGCTACCATACCACTCTAAAGGACACACATGCCTTTCCTGAAATACTACAACACCCCCGTTTCTACTTTGGTCTCCCGGCAGTCCATTCTTCATGCAGCAACCAGTGCGATCTTTTAAAAACTCAAGTCATATTATGTCTCTTTTCTGCTCAAAGCCTGCAATGGTTCCTCCATTTTCTCAGAGTAAAACAAAACAATCTTTACAAGACTCTACATAATCTGGTCTCATTCCGGCTTTGGTCACTCTGCATCAGCCACTTTGGCCTCTTTGCTTTCCTGTCTTTCTGTTAACTGTTCTTTCTGCCCCAGAGTCTTTCCCCAGATATCCCTTGACTAATTTCCTGTCTCTTCTAAGTCTGCTCAAATTGCATCTTTTCAAAAAGGCCCACCCTACCCACTTTATAAACAACAGCACACTGTCCAGACCTGCTCTCCCTCCTGATTTTCTCTACCTTAATCTTTTTTTCCATAGCACTTTTTACTTAACATACTATATAATTAACTGATTACTATCTTTACTGTTTATTATCTGCTTCCCCTTATTAAATACAAGCTCCTTGACAGCAGGAGTCTTGATCTGTTTTGTTCATTTAGTCCTGCTGTATTTTAAATGCCTAAGAGACGCTCAATGCATGTACTGACTTAATAAACATATGTAGGTTAAAAAATAACTGAAGTAACTTGAAACTTTTTTTCAGTTAATAAAAATGTCCATGGCTGGACCAGCCCTATATCCTGGTGGTTAAGTGTCCTGCATCAGGAGGCAGATCTTGCATGGCCCATGGTGGTTTAGATTCCAGGCCATGTGGCTTGGAAGACATACTCAGAGCCTGTCCAGAATCCTAACAATGTTAGGAGGGGGAATTGAAGCATGACCATGACCCATGGAGGGGTGGGGGGGGCAATGCTTTCTCTCTTTCTCTCTCTCTCACCCTGCCCCTGGCAAGTGCACTGGCACACACTCTCAAGCAATACAATTTTTCTCCATGTGTAGTGAACATGTTTCCATATGACTTTTAACTGCCAGGCAGTATATGACTATATAGCTGTATCACAATTTACCTAACCAATTTAACTGCACGTTCAGAAAGTTACCAGCTTTTATCTACTATCTACTGTCATGAAAATCTCTTGGAAAATAAATATTTGTTACATCACTTATTTCCTTGGGAGATATTCTAGAAGTAGAACTGCTGAGTCAAAGGCTATGTACATATTTAAGGATAAATATATTATCCAGCTCCAATCAGCAATGCTTGAGAATACTCATTTCCACACATCCTAAGGCAGGTTACTACTATCTAAAACAGTCAGATAAACCTGGGTTCATATCTGGGTTCTGCCATTAATAAACTTACAATTACTCCATCTATTAAAAGGAGTAATAACACCTGCCTCACCTAATTGCTGTGAGGATTAGAGAAGACAGGGATATGGAAAGTATTAGCACACTGCCTGTACACAGTAAACACTTATCACAGTGTTAAATTTATTGCTTCTACTCTTATGACTTGAAAGAAATCAACTATGAAGTGCTGCGGACATTATTATAGGAACGCCAACCTATTAGTCACTTATAACACAGCAGTTTTTGAAGAGCCCAACCTCTTTTTTAAAGATTATATTTAATCGTCCAGCACCAAATTTAAAATACCCCCAAGTATAGTACATATAACTGAGAGGATACTTTATCACCCGCATCCTAACTTTTGTTTTCTTTTGGACAGTGCGAAAACAAACATTCCTTATCACTAAGACCAAAGGCAGGCAGGAAAACAAACTTTGCCAGGTGGGTTAGCTACAGGTATCTCCGGTTCATTCTGGTCAGTGCGTCCTGCCCACCACTACAAGGGCAGCAGGGGAATAGAAAGATTCATCTGGAAACTCCCACTGCGGTGCCGCGTTTGAAAAGCAGAACAATGACAACTTCCTTAAAGCATCACTGGAGAAAACGGTAAGATCCACAGCGCAGGCTCTCGCTTGCCTTTGACGTGGACGCACAGCGCACCACCCTGTCCCGCAACACACGCGCGCGCGCGCACACACACACACACACACACACACACACACAC